CACATATTTAATACGTTGCCTTTTGCAGCAGAATGCCTCCCAAGAAGAGAGCACAGACGAGCCCTGCCGGAGACGCCAGCAAGAGGTCTAAGCAGGGAAGCAGTCCGTCTCAGCGGCAAGAAGAATCCTCATTGGACAGGTACGAATGGTTGCGAACGCGTTAGGAGCTTGTGTGCGTTCTTCGCTACTCTCTCAGTCTCGTATTGACTTTTTATCTCTTGCTCAGGTTTTTGTGCAAACGTAATATGTACTATTTTCTCTTAAGCTATGCACGATTTTGTTCATTTTCCATTGTATTTAGTCCATTAAACCTGACTTTTTGTCTTTTGCAATGTACTTTTCAATTTCTACATGACCTATTGACAATTTTATCTTTACAACGACCAAAATTGTGCATAGTTAACGATAAATAGTACATTTTAAGTTTGCTCAAAAAACGTCAAAAGCAAGAGAGAAAATAGTCTATTTAGTTCTGAGAGTATAGTTTTCTCTTCTTGTGCTGTGGAGGTATTTCGAGGTTTTTTTTGGACCGGAAGTAAGAAAAACTGAAGCGCTGTAACAATTTGCAGCCTGTCGATGGAGTCTGAAGTGGTGACGGTCAAGGAGGAACTCTCGGGTCCCGAAACCAACAACCTGAGTAGCAGCACTTCCAGTCCCAAGTGAGTACCATGAGTGCCGTTGTGAAAATGCCGTAAACTTCAAAGAAGCTTCAGATGAATGACATTGCAATTCATAGAGCTTTCTTTGCTCACTACACAGAGCAGAGTCATTGCCTTTCAAACAGATCACTGCAGGTTCTTAAGGGAGGACCCTGGTGGAAAAATGGCCAAACATGCTAAAAACAGTATTTTTGGAGTTCATAGATGAAAAATGTGCTTAAAAGGTTTCAGATCCAACAGGTTGAACACCTTTAAGCTAAGTGGGTAGTTTCTTTATCATTTGAAAAGAAATATAATTGAGAGCAATTGCCGTTGCCTTATACACTCAACTTCACAGCTTTGCTCAGTCGACAAAACATTTTGTCGTAGAGAGACTTCCTGCGTTCCTCCTGGTTGACACATACATGAGTCGTCTTGCATGGACTCTATTCTTTGATGACTTGTCGACAAATTTTAGTGACGGAATCTTAATATCAGCCCTGCTTTATGTTACAAGTATAAAAATGTTTGAGAAATAGGCAAAGAACTCACCTTTTTGAAATGTTAAAATTTGAAAGTTTGTATGTCAGAACAGAAGTTGAATTTGAAAATTCCGTCACTAAAATCTCCTCTGCATATACATCTGTAGAATAACCCAAAAAAATTTCAAGACTCTCCGTCCCAATGAAAGACCCAGGAAGATTTTCCCCAACACCCTTAAAAACACTAAAGTGGCACTCTCAGAGACTGTTCAACATTTTGGATTAAATTTTGTTTTGGGAACTCACCATACTGGACCTAATAATTAAGCAAAGTTTTGACTTACTGCAATTATATAGCCTTCTTGAAAGTTTCTTCACGGTCCCCCCCTTAAAGGATAGAGTGCAGTCGTCATCGACTTAAAAACAAGAAGCGTCACTGAGAATGACAGAGTCACCACCATCGCCCTTTCATTGGGTAACGCACGCACCGTTGCCCAAATTTGGGTGACGAGCCCGCGGTGACCAAATTTTGGGCAGTCATAAAATCGTCGCCCAAATTTGGGTAACGTCGTCGGCGACGCCGTGAGATCCCCGATGACGTACTTCCGGGGCCACCACGAAGACCCAATGGGGCGTTGAGGCCTCCGGTCATCGTGGTGACGTCATCGGGAACCTCACGGCGTCGCCAACGGCGTTACCCAAATTTGGGCGACCAAACGCCTGTTACCAAATTTCGGGTGATGAAATTTTTCGTCACCAAAATTTGGGCAGCGAAGTTGCATCGCCCATTCAAAGGGTGATGGTGGTGACCAATTCATTCTCAGTGATCACAAAATCGAATCTACAGAAGGTGGCGATCCTGGTTTGAGGGATGAAATGCTCTGGATATGTATCTGTTAGTAGTCATAAGGAATTTAGCGCTTGCTAAATTGATTTAGAAAAAGTACTGCTTTGAAAAACTCTTAAATTAAGGCACTCAACAAGTTACTACAAGTCCAAACAAGTTACATTGCATGTGAAAATCCCGCTAAGCAAGAGCAAGTAGGTAGCGTTGAAATTTTTTTTGCCTTAGAGATGAATTTAGTTGTATCATAGACAATCAACTATATCCATAGACCAACTGCTTCATGCCCAGGCTGGGATCCATGTCTTACGCCGCTCCCTGATTGGTCGGTACCTTTCACTTCACTGGTCATTGGTCGGCTGTGGTCACCAAGCTGCCTCGGCAGCGAACGCCGCGTCCTGGTTGGTCGAGGAGGCTCGAGCTCCGCCAATCAGGCGCGGCGTCCGTGCTTGCCGTGGCAGCTTGTGGCAGTCGATGCCACACTTGTCGCCTGTTTATACCACTTTAAGGTGATGTTCAGCTGCTTTCAGTGGTGAAAAAGAAGCCCACATAAATGAGAAATGTCATCAACCGGCTCGATTTTTAAAATGAACTTTAACTTTAGAGCCTCAGAGGAAGTTTACCGCTCGTGCCGCTCGTGCCGCAGCTGATTGTTTGTTTTGAACTTGGTATTATACCAACAAGATTTTCTCAAAAACCAAGAGCCAGACACATAGATTTGAACACGCTGAATGCAATCAGACCACCAAAATTTACATTTGTCGAGTTTGAACCTAGAAATGTTGAAGTGAAAGGTACCGACCAATCAGGGAGCGGCGTAACACATGGATCCGACCCGGGCATGAAGCAGTTGGTCTATGGATATAGTTGATTGTCTATGGTTGTATCATTGCAACATTTCCGTCTTCATTGACGAATGTACTTACCGTAAACCGGGGCTTCTTAGTCCACGGGGGTCTTTGGCCAGCGATTGGCTGAGAATGTTACCGATGGAATAAAAACCACTATAAACGAGTTTCTAGCCTCGAAAGTTCCCCCAGTTGGTCAGGTCAAAGTAGCCCCGGTTTACGGTAGCCCTTTTGCCTCATAAAATTTTGGCATTAAATCAGTATTTTTGCACTGTTAAAAATTGTTTTTTTAAAACAACAACACAATTCCCAACCTCGACAACGCTGTTGTTTGTGAACAAGTTTGCTTGTTTTAAAACGACGAATTCGTTGCAAAATTTTTTTTATGATTATGCTGTTTCAAAACAATATTTTGCTGCGTACAAAAAACCCCAGCAATCTAGAAGTGGTTACTGCGGGGTAACCGGGACTCTACGAGGTCTGTGACCAAATCGGCAATAAAAATGATGCAAATAAGGCTGTCTACCGGTTTACAAACATCTTGTGGACGAACGACGAAAATCGTTAGTAAACAACGAAAGTCATTTAAAAACAACTTTGATCATTAAGAAAATTAGCAACATATTTACTGTTAAATTACAACATAATTTTTAACAGTGTGGTGTTCCCGCCCCCAATTCCTAAATGGCGTTTTGCGCAGAAGCTTTTCACGAATTAATGCATGCGTTTTAAGATGCAGGGTTTTACGCTTTAAAAAGCTCCAAAGCGCACGTAATGATTTTGTGTGTGCGCAAGCTCTGTTCGTAGCGAGTATAGTTTCAGGTCAGCCAGCAACCCGTCAGAGTTTTTGATGGTCATGTCATGTGTATTGTGCGTCGCGCAGGTTCTGGTGCCGGGACTGCGGCGACGATGCCGCGGAGGACTGCGTGGACTCGGGCCACTCCGTGTGCTCCCTCCGTCAACTGCGTTTGGGCGAAGCGGCCCCGAAGGTGCAGCGGCTGCAGAAAGCAGCGAAGTCGGCGCGCGAGGTGGTGAAGGCCCTGCTGGACGCCAAGGGCGTGCTGGAGGCCCAGCTGGAGCAGTGGCGCGGCAGGCTGCGGCGTGTTGAGGAGGCTGAGAGGGAGCTGTGGGCGGCGGCGGACGAGGGCCGGGACCTGCGGGAGCCTACACTGGAGGAGGGCCTGGAACAGCTGCTGCAGGACGCCACCACCTTCCTCCAGGCTGAATGTCAGCTGCAAGTGGACTCGCCCAGCTCCACCTGGAAGGCCGAACTGCAGATGGCGGCTGCAGGCTCCAAAGGCACGTTACTTGGCCCACTGTTGCTGCAGCTACACCAGGACAGGAGCCTTGTCAAGGTGGGTTCGCGCTTCCTGAACCCATCGTCTTCAAGTTTCTGAGTTTACGTAAATTATTTGTTGTGCCTCCTCAAATCTGACAACAATGGGAAAGATACCCAACATACACTGGCAGTTATATCCCATGGAGATAAAAAAAAAGGTAGCGTTTTCCTTTTTTACTCGTGCTTCATTGTGTTATCGCTGTTTTTATCTCGAAGTTTTCAGGGAGAAAAGTAAGAAGGACAAACATGTGGCAAAATCTCTTACATTTTAAGAAAAGTTAACACGAGCCTTCCAAAGTAGATTTTACACTGGCCTATACCGGTCCAAAAAAGTATGGAAACGCTATCTTCTTTATATGTGTTAAAAGGTTCAATCTCCAGGATATAAAGATTGGGTCTCTTTTGCATGTCATGAGGAGAATTTGAAGAGAAGAAACAACTAAAAGCTGGTTATGTTAAACTTCATATTCCTTTCTAGGTGTTCCGCCCCGAAGAATGCCTGAATGTGTGGGAACTCAGCCAGCAAAAGGAGCACACCCAAGAGCTTGACGAAGCTCTGCAGAACCCAGGCCTGGACAAGGTGAGGATGTTTTCGTTTATTGTGGCAAGAATTATCCTTGCAGCTATGCACGGCTTACCTAAGTCTTCCCAAACAACGAAAGCCCTGCACTCTCAGCACGTTTCTGACATTTTTCCTCATTAATTACGAAATCGTGAAAGCAACAATAATATTTCGTATTTTCTAAGTAAGTATGACCATGACCAATTTCCTTTGTAAAATTATGTACAAAACTAAATTGTTAGTCCATTAATTAATATTTCCTAAGAAGTTATTTAAAAAAGGAAAAGAACGTATTATGGTTGCGCAAATTACTTGCATAAGTACTGACAATATGAGCAAAAGGTCAGTAACGTGATGAGAGTGTGCGCTATACGCACCGTACAATTTCGTGCGAGATGGATTATTTTATTTTGCGAACTTTTCGTGCGATATTTGTTTGGAAATCTGCGCTTTCTTTTAGCGTCGTGGAAAACCATGTACAGTTTTTTTTTACGGATGAAATCATCCGTATTACAAAGAGTTTTACGTCCGTAACATACAGACGAAAATATCCGTATGGTACGGACGTAAAACTCTTTGTAATACGGATGATTTCATCCGTATTACAAGCAAAATCTATCCGTAATTGCAATTGCACAAAAATGTCCGTAATACAGATAGGATGTATCCGTAAGAAGTTTAGTGTGCATCTGTGATGTAACGTCTCGTACCAAATTTGGACAGAAGCATTAAGCTTGTCAACAGCGTGTGACAGGCGGTAACGCGTAGTGCCCTTGCATGTTTCAGGTGAGGAAGCTGGACGGACTGAACTGCGAGGAGCAGCCCAACTGGAGCACAGTGCTGCTGCAGCGCGTTGCCCCGCGCGTCGAGTGGCTGTACGTTGGAGAGGCCGTTCGGGAACACCTCGATGTGGTCAGGGACATGCCAGCGCTGCGCTGCTTATACGTCCATTTGTTGGATTACTGGAAGAAAGTCCCGGAGCTGCCGCTGCAACTGCAAGAACTGCGTGTGGTGAACGCCTCAGCGCCACATTTCGAGTGTGTGCAGCGAATGTCCAGCCTGCGCAAGCTTTACTTGGCCAGGATTCCGCCGCTCGACGTGGCGTTCCCCCCTCTGCCCGCGGGTCACTGCGGCCTGCAGTGGCTCGACGTCCGCCTCCGGCCGGCCTCCACCGTCCTGTCCCTGGCCAAAGCTCACGCCGCCACACTGCAGGAGCTGCGGATCCTGTGCGCGTCCGAGGGAGATACTGCGTGGCACTTCAAGGACCTGGCCGAGGGGCTGCGCCAGTGCGGGCTGGTGGCGCTGAGGCGCGTTGTGCTGGTGCGTGGACGCGCTTCAGGCTACCCTGACAAGAAGCTCCCGCACAAGACACAGTCGTGTAAACGGCAGAAGAAGTCCATCTGGGACAAACTGTTGGCGACGGAATCGGGGGAGCCAGTCAGGGTAGTAAAGGTCATGTGTGAGGAGTGTGACGAGTGCCCCGAATTTCCGCGTCTGGGAGACTTTACCTGGAAAGACGATTAATACAGTGCTTCGTCTCAATTGAGAGTCTTTCTGTTCTGTATTTTAAATTGAATTCTGGCATTCCGATCCCTTTATTAAACTCCAGAGCTAATTGTTTCGTGTTTGGGACGCTTGTTTAGTTTTTAATTTACCACCGCCTGACGTCCTGGTGCCATGGCTGTGATGCTGATTTGTCCTCGATCCGATCGGGCACGTCGATGTTTCTATAGTACACTTTGGTTTCAAAAGCGTGACATCACCCCGTAAACAAAACTAGTACATGTCTGGAATCCGACGTCTTTCGGACGTCCCGAAGAAGTCGGTTTTGGGAGCTCTTCGGGACCTCCCTAAACGTACTACAAATGAAGCTCTCTCGTACGTCGCGCGGGGACCTAGTGTGTGGTGCCAGAGTTCGCCGCCAGAGCGCGCCCTGGTCGCTCGCAGAGAGGACGGAACAGAGAGGTATAACTCCCATGCTAAGCCGCTCCGCCAATTTCGTCGGGCCCGGCGGACGGTCGCGCGACAGTAGCGCACCTGGCGGTGCGGTCGCGCGCTTTTTGGTGGAGCTCGACACGGCCCGGTCAGGGGCCCCCGGAAGTACTTTTGGGGGGGGGGGGCGAAATTTTTTTGAAAAATTGTTGGGTTGCCTACCGTTAAGGGGCAAACCCAATACGGTTGAGACTTCTCTAAAAGTGTTCC